ATTCCCGGTTGGGGCACGTGCCTGGGTTGCAGGCTTGATTCCCTGTGTGCGGTGTACAAGAGATAGCTGATCATTGATGTTCCTCTCTCATTGATGTTTCTCTTTGTTCCTCTCACTTCCTCTCTCTCTAAAAATCAAGAAAAACATTAAAGAGAGAGAGAAATAATCCCTTTCCCCACCCTGATTCCTGTCTGTGGAGGCGACTGATGTTTCTAGTGTCTCCTAAACTTTCAGGGATAGCTCAATCATCTATTTTTGAGATTATCCTATATTACTTGGTATACACAGTGCTAGCTCATTATTTTTAATGGCTCCATGGGATTAAATCTGATTGTTAACTACTCCCCACTCGATGAACCTGTAGATTGCTTCCAGGGTGTGCCCTGCAAACAGGGCTATAGTTCATGACACTGACAGGTCTTTATTCCTCTGTACAAGTATTCGTGGAGTTGCTCAAAATTATTAGTTATTATTGTTGTTGGTAAAGTGCATGTTGATAAAGTGCTTTGACTTTATACATCTCTACAAGTAGAAGAATTGCTGGGGCATGAGGTATGTGCATTATCTATTTTGATATTCTCCAAATTGGCACCCAAAATGGTATTAATTTATGTTTCCACCGACTGTGTGAGTCCTGCTTCCCTCCACATTCGCCTAAGCTTTTATTTTATTTATTTTTTTAATATATTTTATTGATTTTTCACAGAGAGGAAGAGAGGGGGATAGAGAGTTAGAAACATCGATGAGAGAGAATCATCAATCAGCTGCCTCTTGCACACCCCCCACCGGGGATGTGCCGGCAATTCAGGTACATGCCCTTGACCGGAATTGAACCTGGGACCCCTCAGTCCGCAGGCCTACGCTCTATCCACTGAGCCAAACCGGTCCCGGCTCACCTAAGCTTTTAAAATATTGCCAATACTTATCGTGTTAGCTCCTGTTTATCGTGTGATGAGAGTCTCAGTGTTCTCAGGCTGCTGTAACAAATGACCATAGACCAGGTGGCTTAAATGATAGACATGTGTTTCTCCCAGTTGTAGAGGCTGGGAAATCCAAGATGAAGGGGCTGGCTGACTTGGTTCCTGGAAAGGGCCCTCTTCCTGGTGATGTCTTTGCTTAGAGGGTGAGGGAAAGCAATCTCTCTCATCTCCTCTCCGCTTACAAGGGCACTAACCTCATCACGAGGGCTCCACCCTCATGACCTGAATACCAGCAAAGGCCCTATCTCCAAACACCCTCACATTGGGGATTATGCTAATCTCCCCCCCCCCCATTCATTTTCCGAGAGAGTGGAAGGGAGGGGGAGAGACAGAGGAACATCCAGTGAGAGAGACACATTGGTTAGTTGTCTCTTGCATTCGCCCAACTGAGGCTGGAGATGGAGCCCACCACTGAGGTAGAGGTATGTGCCCTTGACTGGAATTGAACCCAAGACCCTTCAGTCTGTGGACTGATGCTCTAAGCATTGAGCAACTGGCTAGGGCCACACTGGCAATTATGGGCTCAACATATGAATTTGAGGGGGACACAAACCTTCGGCCAATAGCAATTAAAAAAAAAATATTGATTTTTTACAGAGGAAAGGAGATAGAAAGTTAGAAACATCGATCAGCTGTCTCCTGATCATCCAAATTGGGGATGTGTCTGCAACCAAGGTATATGCCCTTAACCGGAATCGAACCCGGGACCCTTCAGTCCGCAGGCAGAAGCTCTATTTACTGAGCCAAACCGGTTTTGGCTGAGTGTCTTTTAACATACTTAAAAGCCACATGTCTTTCCTGTTCTCTGAACTGTCCAGGTCCTTGGCTCATTTTTCTATGAGGTTGCTCTGGGAGACTTAGAGTGTAGGATGAAGGCCTCCAGGGCTGTCAATACACCTAGATAAGATGGACTATCACACTTCCTCATTGCTCAGGCCTAAGTATGACACTAAGTATGCTGATATAGTGCTTTGGCTTTTTTTTCTAAATACAGTCACCAATAGCATCTCTTAATAAAAATGAACAACGTTGGGGTCAGTGGGTCAGCAATTGGGATCTCTAATTTCACAGAGTAGGAAATGAGGCTCAGAGAATTAAGCAACAGTGTTCCCCTCACTCCCATCCACGGGGGATACAGCCCAAGACCCCCAGTGGAGGCCTGAAATCACAGGTAGTATTGAACCCTACTGATAACTATGTTTTTCCTAAACACACATTCTTAGGATAAAGTTTATTTCAGAAATCAGGCACAGTAAGACATTAACAATAATAACTAATAATTTTGAGCAACTATAACAATATAGTGTAATTCAAGTTACGTGAATGTGGCTTCTCTAATAATGGGTTTGATAACCAAGCCTATAGCGTGGACACTATGAATAGTGGGATGATTCCTGTCAGGGGCAGGACAGAAAGGGGGACAAGAGATTTCATCATACTACTCAAGATGGGTGCAGTGTGCGATTTACAACGTATGCGTTGTTGCCGGTTTGGCTCAGTGGATAGATAAGAGTGTCGGCTTCAGGACCATAGGGTACCGGGTTTGATTCCACACACCTTGGTTGCAGGGTCCTCCCCGGCCTGGGCCCTGGTAGGGATTCGTGCAGGAGGCAACCAATCCATGTGTTTCTCTCACAACAGTGTTTCTCTCTGTCTTCCCCTTTCTCTCCCACTCTCCCTGAAAAAAGCAATGGGGAAATATCCTTGGGTGAGGATGAACAGAAATAAACAAATAAATAAAAATACAACTTTTGAATTGTTTATTTTTGGAGTTTTTCCATTTAATTAGTTTTGGATTGTGGTTGACCGCGGGTAACTGAAACCACAGAGAGTGAAGCTGCAGATAAAGAGGGGCTGCTGTATGGGTCAAGGGAATGTAACCAGAGTTGCCCAAGCTCTTGGAACCTTCTGGGTTCAGGCTTGGGCTCTGGAGCTAGCCAGACCCGGTTTGAGCTTGGATATGTCACTGCACTTCTGAGAATAGAGGATTCTAGTCTAGGACTCTAAGCACAGTAACAGTATCTTTTGTATGTGCTTGCTCTGAAGGTTATGTGAAATAATGTATGGATATTCGTTATAACAGACTCAGCGGGGTGTAACATAGTATCGGCCATGATGATAATACACGTGATAACACATGGCTCATGCGTTCTGCTTTAGCGGTTATCTGTGGTGGTCCCAAAGCTCAGCTAACAGGGGTAAGACTTTTTTTGTTGCACTCCATCTTTTTTTTTTTTTTTTTTTTCTTCTCCCTATTTTCTACTCTTCTCTCTTTGAGTCCAACCCGCCTGGAACAGCTGGCTCTTCCGCGTGGGGGCTTGTTAATGAAGTTATCCTGTCCTCTCCACCTCTGCAGGGAGCAGAAGCCCCGCATGCTGGGAAAGCCTCTGCCCTGGACTCCCAGCCCTTATGCTCTCAGGAAATGTTTGTTATTGAATGAACGGAGCCAAGAAGGAGGGTCTGCTCCCTACACGGCCTTGGTGCGGTGCCTGGCAGTTAGAGCACCTTCTGGCACCTAGCAGGAGCTCGGGACAGATGTATGCGGTGAATGAATGCATGCATGCATGCATGCATGCATGCACATTCTGGAGTAAGGGCTTGCATTTCTGTATTCAGCGCATGGTGCCTCGTACACAGTAAGCGCTCGCCATAAACATCGCCCGGCCAGGCTGATAAAACCTATCAGTGCAAGGGCTAGCGGGGCTCCACTGTGCAGGGGTTCGAATTCCGCCTGCTCCTCTTCCCGGCGTGCGACCTCCGCAAGTGGCTTCATCTCTTTGTGCTTCAGTTTTCTCCTCTGCAGACGCGGTCCACGTAGTGCGACCTCCACGAGACACTCCCCCCCCCGCCCCCCCCCCCCCCCCCGGGCCCTGGGACTGGCTGCCCGGCCCGCAGGGAGCCCCCGCCGCGCCAGCCCGCCTGCGTCGGTCGGGGGCTCGCGCGGGGGGACCCGAACCTTTCGCTGCAGTCGCCGCCGGCTCTCCCGGGGCTCGCGGCCGGGTCCCCGAAAGATCGGTGCCCTCCGAGGGGGCGGGGCCCCCGCTGCAGCCGCGCAGGGCAGCCCGCGGCGGCCTCGGGTCGGTCGGCGCCGCCCGCACTCCTTTCTCTCTCTCCCACTCCGCCTCCCTCCCTCCCGCTCCCGGCCCGAGAGTCTGGCCGCGAGCGGCTCAGCAGCGCCGCCCGCGAGCCGCCGCCGCGCCGCCGCCGCGCCGGCCCCACCCCCGCCCGCCCGCCGCCCCCCCGCGCGGCCGGCGCCCGTCACGTGACGCGCCGCCAGCCAATGGCGGGCCGAGCCGCGGTCGGCGGCCGCCATTGCTGTCAGAGTGAGCGAGCCCGGGGAGGGAGGAGAAGCGAGGCTGACTGGGGAGGAGGGGGGGGTGGGGGAGGAAGAGGAAGGAGGGGACGTCGCTCGGCTGCCGGGGTCGCCCGCTGGCTTCGTCCGCACCCCCCCCTTCGCGAGTTCGCGCTCCGCAGCGGCGGCGGCGGCGGCTCCGAGGCGGCGGCGGCGGCGGCTTCGGGGCTCGCCTCCCCTCACGCGCCGGCGGGGGCCGAGGGGGAGTCGGTGGCTGGAGATAAACAAGGCGGCGGCGGCGGCGGCTGAGGAACAGGGAAGGCGGAGGCGACGGCCGGCCCGCAGCGCCAGCCCGAGAGCCAGCGGCGGCCCTGAGAGGCGGGGAGGGCGCTGGGCCGCGCGGACAGCGCCCCCCGCCGCCGCCGGAGTCGCGGGAGCCGCCGCCGCCGCCGCCGCAGCCGCCCGAGCAGGAAGGAGCCGCGCGGCCGCCGCGGACCCCCCCGCCGCCCCGCCGGCCCGGGCCCGCCGCCCCCGGCGCGGCGTCGCCGCCGCGGCGCCTCCCGCCCGCCCGCCGGCCCGCCGCCCGCCGGCCCTCGCGCCCTTCCCCGGCGGCGGCGGCGGCCCGGCCGCCCCGCGCTCCCCGGCGAGGCGCCGCCGCCCGGCCCGGCCTCGCCTCGGACGCCTCGCTCCGACATGCCCCGCTCTGGCGGCCGGGCTCGCGGAGGATCATGACTGCGGCAGCGAACTGGGTGGCGAACGGGGCGAGCCTGGAGGATTGTCACTCCAACCTCTTCTCGCTGGTGAGTAGCGGGGCCGCGGGGCGGGGGGGTGGGGGGTGGGGGGGGAGAGGGCGCGCCGGGGGGAGGGGGGGTCCCCGACCTCCGCCGCCGACCAACTTTCTCCTCCCGCCGCCGGGACGTCGCCCGCCCCTCCCTCGCCTGCCTCTCCCCGCCGTTCGCCTCTCCTCTCGCCGATGATTCTCCCCCTTTTGGATCGTCTCGCCCTCGCCTTGGACGCCGTCCAGTGTTTATTTGGCTCTTTAAAAATCGTTTGTGAGCGCGGCGGCGGCGCTCGCTCGCTCGCTCGGCGTGGAATCTGCGTGTGGAAGTCTCGCCGCCGCCGGTGCTGGGTCGCACTCCGAACGCCCACCCTCCGCTGCGATCACACGCATTTCTCCCCCCCCCCCCACCCCGTCCCGCCCCCTCCCCGCGCCCCCGTCTCGCCCCCCGGAACGCGAAAAGCTGTGCCCTGCGCCGCTGCCCGCATCTGCGATCAGCAGCCTTCTTCTCTTCCTCCCCCTCCTCCGAACCCCGGTCGGATCGGCTGCCGGGCCGCCCGCCTTTTGCATTTTTAAACAAATTCCATAATGACACCTGCGATTCCGCCCGAGAACAGTTGATGGAACGCGATTGTGTCGGTAAAAGGACTCTTGCGCCCGGAGCTCCCTGGATTGTAAACATGGGCAGCCGCCGGCCTCGCAGGGCGCTTACTACGCCGGAGAGCCGGAGAGCCATTCCCCCCGAGCCGACAGAAGGTGGAGAAAGCTTTTTTTTTTTTTTTTTTCCTTTTTTTTCTTTCTCTCCTCCTGTGCCTTTTAAAAACTGTTTTCTCTATCCTAACAAGGAATCCACACACATACACACACACAAAAAGCAACAAGCTGGGCGGTTTGATAACATCGCTTTTATCTGCCTTCGCCCCGCTCGCGCTCCCCCCCCCCCCCCTCTCTCTCCCTGATAATTGACAACTTTTCCTTGGGATTTGAATCGCCGGCCTTAATCTTGAAGCAGTTAGGGTGTCAATTGTTCTCCTCGGAAGCCTTGGCACCCGACGGTACGACGGCGGCATCTAGGTTCACGGAAATTAAAAATGGATGGGGCTCCAGCAACTCTTCCCTGGCGGTGGCAAGTGACATTTGGTGGTAAATGCCATCTTTGCTTTTTTTTATTGGGTCGTATTACCTAAGCTCTGAAAACATTCGCGTTGTTAAACCTGGCGTTTGGGCTAATAATTGCAGTGCGTGGTCTTTAACCATGTGCTTTTGTGCCTGAGTTACTGTATGTATAGTTATGTGCCCGAGACACTACGGATTTGTTTAAATATTGAGCAAGGATTTGTAAACAGATGTAAGGCAATTACGTCTCAAGCGTAGAATATAATTGGAAAATTGGCCGAAACGGTTTGTTTAATTTAGCCTTAAAAAAACAACTTATTTTAAGTTGTGTACCCTTGTTGGGGGGGACTGCCTTTTGGACAGCATGCATTTTGGGAATTAATTGTTTTGTGTAACCCCTGCCTGCCGTAGATAAAAACATTGTTTCTTTTTAATCGTTGTTTGCACTGGGTAAATAATTTAGTGTTCAAATTGTAATTAGCTACATTTAATTATGGGTAGCATAGAGGCTTTTTTTTTTTTTCTTTAAGACTAGGGGAGAAATACAAACAATTGCCAACTTTTCAAATGTGTTTTATTAAATATGTTTATATAGATAAAAAATCAAAACATGCGATTTTTATCTACAAAGACTGAGTGACACAGTATCCTTGCTATTATAATAATGAGATCAGGTCAGTTTCCCTCTCAACATTTTTATTAAGACATTTAATCTTAAAATTCAGTTATAAGTTGTGATTCTTTTCTCAGTGCTGTGATGGTTTCCCTTAATCTTCTGATATATGAGAATAAAACGCATTTTGCTTCCTCTTTTCTCCCTTTCAGTCTGTCATTTAGTATCAGTCAGGTTCTGGGACTTTCATAGATTAGCAAATGTATTGATTAAGTGGTATTTAAAATGGTTTTTGTTTGGCGTCTGGTGACCACATTGACACTTTAACAGGTAATTAAAATAACCAAGTAGACCAATATTAGTGAAGAGAGATCCTCCAAATTACCATATATCATGCTGACTGGTAATGGCTCGTGTATATGTGATTGATTTATATACAGTAGGTTTTGTAGATGAATGCAAGTATATTACATGTGTAGCAATTCTTTAGGACATGTCTTTTTTTATCTCCTTTTTTTTTTTAAACCTTAAGTGAGGATTATAATGTTATGAGACATGGTCTTGGATTCTTTTGGAGAAACAGTTTTGTGGGAGAAGGATTCTTTGCTTTAAGAGCTTTGGGTATTCCTCTCCTGAACCTCTTTAAACCAGGAATTGATTTTTTAAAAACAGAATTACTCTTTAGGTAGCAACTTGGAAATGCAGAACTGCAGGGCTGCATGGGGTGAATTTTTTGAAAAGACTAAACTATCTACATTTTCTTGTATGTGGAATGAATAAGATGCTAATTAAAAAAATACTAGTCTGTTAGAAAGCTGCTGATAAATATAAAATTTTCTCATTCTAAATTGAGAATTTTTCTTGAAAATTACATACAGCAGCAAACTGGCATATAAAAAATATGTTGCCTAAAGTACATTGTATAGAATAGTTAATTCTAAAAGGATAAAATCATCACCTGGTCAAAATAAAGCATGCATTGTAAGAACTCTATGTACTTATTAATAGCATATATTTTTCTTTATGGCTTGCAGCTTTTTGAACAAAGTATTGGTTATAGAGAATTTAACTAGACATTCATATTAATGTGAATTGAAGTATAAACTAGAGATTAAAGGTCTGTACCATACTAATCACCCACCCACTTTCTATTACTTTGAGTTGTTCATTATGGTTTAGCAAACAATGATTTTGCAATCAGATGCCTTAAGATTTTTGTTAGTCCTTTACTTATTTTGCTTTCGGATTTTTCTACTACATCAGTTTCTGTGGTGTCAGATTTCCTAAATTCTGTCAACCCCTGCCCCCTTTTCCTAATGTGAAAAAGCCATTGTGTATACATGATATGGGTCATTGTGAGTGTTTCTTATTCTTACTGTTGTGAGGTTTGTAGCTACTGCATTAAATACATGCATAGCTGTGTCTTTGTGACTCCAAACTGTTTTCCCATGCTGTCCATCACATTTCTGGGAGACTTGTTATATAGTCACTCAGTTATAATTCAGCTCAGTGTGTTAAATCTATCTTTTTGGAAAATGTTGCAACAGTGCATCCTATGATATTTTTCAAGCCACCCTTGTGGGAAGACACATAATTTCCAGATATAAGTATATCTTTAGTTTGGTTTCTTTAGTTATGTTTCTCTATTGAGATGATATGGAGAAAAGCAATTTTGTGTCCTTTAACTAGATTTAAGTATATACTCTTTAACATGAGGCAGTCTAATTCTTAGGTATGTATATTCTACATTCATGTTATTTTATTTGCTTAGAATCTCCCTGACTATGGGTAATTGGGTAATATCAAATTCTTCCTCCTTGAATTGCAATGCACATAAACACATTAGTAATTAATTCCTATCAAGGACCATTAATTCTATGTTTTAAGTTGTTGGTAGCCTGGTTACTGTTTTCCTTAAGAGATTTATTTTTTTTGCAGAAAGAGAAAATAGTTGTAAACTTTGAGATCTGTTCTTTTGAGTTAGAACCAAATGGGGAGGGCTGTCAATTGAAAATGAGGAAAAGGGAATGATTTCTCTAATCTTCTCAAGTGCTAAAATATATTCACAGGGTATTTTTTTCATCCCAATTTCCAATTTTAGTATTTACGTTTAAAGCATCTTTTCTTCCCCCATGATTGTTCATTTTTTTTTAATGAAAATGTTTATAACTTGCTAATGTGTGTTTTCTGTTTCGCCTTTTGTTGTTAGTAGCACATGGTGTTACAGTATTTATATATTTTTAATAGCAATAATTGTCACACAGTAATAATAGTTGCCATATAACCTCCAATTGCTAGTAAATATTTTTAAGTACATAATAGACAGCAATTTAAGGCATAGTGTAGCAGTTTACTGGACCATTTTAAAGAGCCATTTGTACGTGTGATGGGTTCATAATTTTAAAGAGAAAATAATGTACCCAAGATTTCTATGCTATACAGAATGTTGCTGTGTTACTGCTTGAAGTGTTCATTGAAAGGAAGTTAGGTGGAATCTGTTCTTTGGGAGAATAAAGGTGGGGACCGATGCCTTTAGGACAATGAGTCTTTATTGAGTTTTTGCCAGATGCTTAGATAATTTAGCATTTTCTTGGGAATGTTTTGGTCATATTTTTCATGATTGTATTAGGTATTTATTAGGGAAAAAAGTCTCTTCAGACATTCCTTTGAGTAACATTAAGGTATAGTGTGGATTATATTAATTACTTATGGAAAAATTGATTAATCTTTTTTGTTCACTGGCTAATTTAGCCTCCTTAATTGTGAGTTAATTGTATTCATCAAACATTTTCAGAGATCTCTATTCTTGAGGTTAGGGAAAAGATACACTGTCACTAGTTAGTACTATATGCTATAAATTACGATAGCCATTTGCAGAAGATAAGTACATTCTATAGTTCTATTTGTCAAGTTATTTAAAATTAAGATGAAACTCAATGTAAATAGTAATAAGATTATTGATTTGGATTTTTGTTTCTGGAACAGTCAATTCAACTATCTCTTCAAGTTTGATTCAAAGATAGACTGGATATTTTTTTCAAAAGATTTGAGTTATTTTTGATAGAAGAAAATAACAATGTTTTTCTTCTGTAAACTAGTAGTAGAAAGTGTGCTTTTTTCATCCTGAAAGTGGGTGATACATCTTTTTTCACAGATGTTAGCCAGTGAGGGAGATTAGACAAAGTTTATGAGAAATAGTAATATAGTTGAATATTAGGTTTTATTATTACTGAACTGTGCATTGCAACCATTTGTTAGAAGTGGAGAACAATGATTTCTGCAACATTGCTATT